CTGCCGTGACGACAGTGAACATGACGATAACATCATCACTGCGAGCCCCTTACATCGTAACGGTGTCCCTCAGTTTTGAAACCGAAGCATGGGACCGAAAGATGAAAGGAGACCGATGAAAAGAAGAGGGAAAATGAGGCAATGGAAGGAAAAGGGGATACGTGTTGACTTTAAATGAAGTGCTTGCTGTCTGTATCCAGTCTCGTAACTGCCGATTGACGTTATCAGACATCTGATTCGTCATTCAAAGTTCTCTCCAACGACCTCAGCAGACTTGCCTCCTGTGCTTCAAGTTCATGTGCAGATGCAGATGATAGGAGATGTGCAGAATAGCCTCGTAGACGGGCCCGAGAAGGCTTCTTCTGGGTCAGGTGGTAGGCATAAGACACCGGACACTTGTGCACCCAAGTCACACCAGATACCTTTAGTGTTCTAGGATGTCGGTTATCTTGGTCGTCTGTAGGCCTCCAGTTTTAGCAGTGTCCTGTCAGGCTTCCACACTGAACTGACCGGGCACTTGCCTCGTGATAACCTCTTCGACAGAGACCACTCATGTAGAGCAGCTCAGAGCCTACCAGCATGCGTGCAACACTTCACACATGAGCTTGTGGTTGGGCTTTGCACTGGACACGCGTGGAATGCATGACTTGCTTCCATGGTGACTAGCTGCCTTCGACTGTGTTCGTCATTAGAAGAAGGCAGTGCTGCAGGCGGCCTCTCGAAAGTTCGGACGAGGTTCCGCAAGGTTCTCGGAATGCCTGGGTATTTAGCTCCTCCTCTTGCTCTTATATTTCTCACTCTTCCTTCCTGCCTCTTCCTCTTCTTCTTTGCGTTGTCTCTTCTTCCCCCTTCTCATCTCTTCCTGTCCTGTCCTCGTTGTCCTTCTTCTTCTCCTCGTCCTTCTCCTCGTCCTCGCCTTCTTCTTTCCTCTCTCCCTTTTCTCTATCTAGGAGGACCCGGGTCCAGGTACCCAAGGCCTGAGAGAGCTCAGTGTCATGTTTCAAGGAGCTCATGGATCGTTCCGTGGGTTTTGGAGGTCCAGAATAAGGAAGAGAACCCAGAACTCTGGTCAAAGAAAAAGATAAACTTAGACAAAGACATTGTACACTTGTTCGTCTTTTCAGTCCTGAACGGTATCTTAGAATAGGTAACTTGGATCGTTGATGAAGGGTGGAAGAGACAGAAATACCTGCTACCGGGTTTTTTCAGGGTCACTTGAGACGCGGGGTTCTACCCAGGAGCAGTTAAAAGGAGGCTTGTGCTTGGTGGAAGCAGCTCCTGTCTGGAAGGGAAGGCCAGATGATCGGCCAGTGGTAGTTAGAGCTGGCATGTCTACTCTTTGGAGTCAAGGACACACTCACGCCATCTAGACACAAACTAGCAGTACCACCGCTCATTGTCGACTCTGACTGTCTATGCCAAGTCAAGTTCACAAGGTGAAGCAGGCAGAGCAACCTCACGCCAGCGGCCAGATGATCTGTTCGAGCTGATTTTGAGTATCTAGCTAGAGGAACAGTGAGGGAGGCACCAATAAAGTAGAACCAGGGGTTACGATGATGGAGAGACAATGACAAAGGAAATCGAAACGTACAAGAATGAGCGTGACATTATTACATCCTTCGTCTGTTGAGGCCATGTAGCAACCAGAGTGTCTGTGGAGGAGGCAATAGGGTCTTAAGATCACTTCCGACTATGTTGTCGTTTCTTCTGTCCTTACCACTTTGGGTCAGAAGGTCTGTCTGGTACCCAAGCTCTACCACGTGCAGTGGTTCTGCGAGGCAGAGTTGGAGTAGAGGACAGAGTCTTCGTCACACCCACGGGCATGTCTTGTTCGTCTTTGTTTCTTTTTCTTTGTCCTTTCTCTTCGTTGTTCAAGGGACGGAGGGGATCGAGCGATCGTCGGCACTACGGTCGGTATGTCGACGCGGTATCGTTGGGTTGAGGGCGTCGAGGAACCGGTGTCTGGTACGGTAGATAGGAATGTATGTAGGAGAAAAGGGACTCTTTTGTTGTGTGTCTAGAGAGACTCGAATGGCTGGGAAAAGTAACGACAAAGAGGATAGTTGAAGGAGAGGACAAGCAGCTTGCTCGAAGGGAAAAAAGACGAGTGAATACCAGGAGAGCAATGCCGTGGGGTCGGTCAGTACGGAGCTGCTCGGATGCCCAGTCCTTCCGAACGGCACTCGGCTTGACGGAAGGCGTTGATGTGGCAACGCTGTAATTATAGAGACGGCGGTCCTGGTTTATGGAAAGGAAAAATACCCAAATAGAATGGAAAATGGGGCAAAGAAAAGCTCTGGGGAATGAACAATGAGACAAGAAAAAGGGAAAAAAAAAAAAGAAAAAGGGAAAAAAAAAGACGCTTGGACATGCTCGGGTATCTTAAGGCAGGGAAATAGGGCTAAGGGCTTGCCCTGCATGAGAAAACACTCCTTGGAGATGGCCGAGGAGGAGAGCAAGGTCCTGAAGTCCTGCATCCTAACTTCGTGATACAGGACATCTTCCTAGCCCTTTTTCTGCGGCTGCGGATCAGCCGGTAGAAGCCTCAACTCCAGACAGAGCGCCTGGATCAGAACAGTTCAACTGCCCGGGCAAGGTGCTATCACCTCCCACACATGGCCCAGGTTTTCTAAAATGCATGCAAAAAGAAATTGTTCCTACCGGTTGACTTGCCGTCTCTGACGCCCTGTATAAACGCACCCCATCTCTCGGTATAACCTCGTTGTCCTTTGATTCGAGGTGTTTGGGGGGAGTCCACAGCGAAATTCATCGCGTCCGTCGCTAGGCTGCAAGGCGTGCTTTTGTAGATCGGTTGTCGTGCTTCTGCTTGCTTCATATGGAAGCGGCTTGTTGAGGAACTGCCTAGGTATGCCCGGTCCTAGTGTTCGCCATCGTCGTTGTTATGTCGGTTCCCACGATGGGTGGCAGTCGTAGTTGGTACAGCAAGATGGTATGCTGTTGTAGATACGGAAATGATGCTTCGGGCTCTGTGTGGGGGTAGATGACGAGAGCAGGATGGGGGAGAGGTCGCGATAAAAAGGCGGCCGAGGCCAACCGCATCAGAATTTCTGTGCGGAAGCAAAAATCAAGAGGCAACGTGCCTGCATGAGCTTGTCGCCAGCGTTATGGGAAGTGGTGGGCTGGCTTGAAAGATTGATATGGCGGCGTAGACTGCGAGGTAGTCGAGAAGCAACCACTTGACGTGACTCGCCAGATGGAGGGCAACGCTGCGGCGACTCATGTTATGCCTGTCAGGCTCCTCTGCACTCAATGTACCTTGGGGTATGGCAAGGGGCTACTCCGAGAACGAACATAGGACCTGAAGCACACCACTGGAGTCATCGTCATCACTGTCGTGAACTGCCCAGGCGTCTTAGCCTGGACGCATGTTAGCCAACTCCTCCATTATGTTGATGCTCCATGGGCAAGCACGTACCTCCTTGAACATGGTGCGGCACATGTTGGCAGTCTTGTGCCTAGGCGTTGATGATAGGCCATAGGGATCGGATATAGCATCTCGGCCGCTCAGTTGGGTCATACGTAGTGTTGTCTCGCCCTCCAAAGGGTTGATGCATCTGTGCCATAGCGGTACGTCCCGTCTTCGTCGTATCTTCTGGCGTGCACAGGCTGGTAGACACTGTCAAGTGACTACCAAACAGTGTTTTGTTCTGGTAATGTGCCGGGCTGTTGAAACCCGCCAATCTTTCGGCGATGGAAGACGGTGCATGGAATGACCAGTCTTTGATCCATAGTGTTAAGGACGGCGTGATGTCTTGTGCCCTTGTTGACGATGTAAAACCTCGCGCAGCCTCCGTGCCATCAGAAGCCTAGGGGCTATTGTTAGTCCTCGCTTCGTGGGCCAAGTTATGAATAAGGGTGTACTTTTAGAAGATCATCAACCAACTACCTGTCGAATGACGAAGTGTTGCATGTCGAAGCCAGAGCCATCTGCAGCCGAGTCATCGTTGGGAGGCAAAAAGTAAACAAAAAAATTGGGGCCACTGAACGGAACAAGGACAACACCACCACATGTCGGGAGGACCCGTTGGTGTGGCTGGCCGAGCAGAGTTGGCGAACAGACAGGAATTGTCAGCCTCACTAACCGGTATACTCGGCCGTGCCGAACTTCAAGAACTTTGGTCCCGTTAGCAGCATAAGGTATTCTATTAAACAGTGATGCAGAGCAGGGTGTTTGGGGAACGTGCAGTTGACCAGTCTGGCTTCTTCAGCCCTGCAGAAAATTCTGCTGCGTGGATGAAAGTGGACCGAGTGGACGTGAGAGTTGACTTACCGGAGCAGTCACTCAAACTGATATAGTAGCGCGGTGTCAGGTCGAGGTAATTATTGAGTTGTAGCTTGGGCAAAAAGAATAACGGCGACAGGAAAAGAGAAAGAAGAGAAAGAGGGGAAAAAAGTAGGGCAGAGAGCAGAAAGAATAAGAAGGGACTGATACCGGTGGCCATACTAGCTTTGTAGCCGTTGAAAAGTCCGCCGAGGAGCAACTGGCAGTGTAACGGTGACAGAGAAAATTGTTCGGGCAACCAAAATATAATGAACAAATATCGAAATGGTAGAAGCTAAGAAGGCCAAAGTCAGAAGATAGATTAGAAGGGAGAAGAAGAGAAGAAGGGAAAATGTTTCAGCCAGTTCTTGAATGTACCCAGACCGGAGTGACGTGTGGATCATGTTGTGAAATGTCATGAGGCAACGGCCTGCTCTGATTCTATAGCTTCCGTTGTTGGGATAAGCGGTCGTTAGTAGCAGAGAAATGTGTCACTCGCGCATTTCTCGAGAGCCCGAACCAGCGGGTACAGATACCACTTTCTCTTTCAAGTGTCCATAGATCAAAGCTACATACCTTTGGTACGCATTCCTTGAAACGCCTGTGACAATATACCCTGCGTCCGAGTGCAGCACTGCCTCCAGCTCCACCAACGTTACTATATAACAAGTCCAGTATACGCGTGTTCACAGTTCCTCTCACTTGCTCTTCGAGTATCCTAATCAATCCTCGCCCTCTTGCTCTCTCCCTGTTCTTCCTTCTCCCCACCACCCTCAGCCGAACCCTCCACATCCTCTCTCCTCCTCACGGTACCAGCACCCTCACCAAGCTCTCCACTGACACCACCCTCTTCTTCTTCTCCTTCAATGTCAACCTCAACCTCCTCCTCGCCACCAATCCAGTTTCCATGTTCGTCAAAGTACTCGTGAACATTATCCGCTGTGATCCACCCGGAACTACCAGGCATCGGCGGCGGCAGACCTCCTGAGCTTGACCCCGCAAACACGCCCTGGAACCCTTCGATGGCGTCGCCCTCAAAGATTATCCTGTTGTCATCGTATTCATCATCTTCATCGCCCTCGGCGGGGTCGGGGTTGAGGTCGGCGCATGCGGTGATGGCCTTGAAGAGTTTTGTCGCCTCGTTGTCAGGTTGTTTCTTGCCGATTGTTGATTCTGCCTCCTCGGTTTCGGTTTGCGCAGCTTCGGTGGCAGAAGCAGAAGCAGTACCTGCAGGAGCGGTTGGGGGGATGAGGGTAAGCTCGACAGTCTCGAAGTCGTCGTCGTCGGCGCCGCCGTCGGGAGAGAGCTCGAGCTGGAGGAAGACGGAGGGGTACTTGGTTTCGCCAGTGCCGATGGTCTTGATCGCGTGAATGCTAATCACGGGGTACGGGATCTCGAAGCCGACTTCAGCGGAAGGGGAGAATATTGTGAGGTTTCTGTACAAAGAGGACGGGTCGGGTTAGCTTCTGATCATGCGGGTGAGGACCTTGACGGCTCTGGAGCAGATGAACGTACTGGGAATTGACATAGAGATCTACTTTCTGCTCGACGGCCTCCTCAGCACCCTCGCGCAAGGCCGCGCCCTCAGGAGCTGTAGGTGCAGTCTCGAGGTCGGCCGGGAAGAAGGGCAGCTTGCCGCGCTGCGACTTGGGGATCCAGGCCTTTGCGCCGGTCGCATGGTAGTAGAGAACGGGCTTTCCGCCGAAGAATGTCTCGGGGGTTTGTTGGAGGTGCTCCTCGAGGGGTTTAAAGTCTGCGAGCGCAGGCGGCGTCCGAATCGTGGTGGGTGCCATCTTTGGGTGTTTGTTTGTTTTGTCGAAATTACGTACAAGTTACAGTGGTACAGACGCGAAGCTTGAAGTTGAAGCTGCCGCTGAGCTCCAGAAGCTCTGGGCGATCTTTAGTGGGGTCGAATTGCTTCATTATGGGGCTTATCAGTTTATCGTTCCCGCTGTGGGAATGACCCTTGCAGCTCCATTGGCACTCATCATCGCTGACTCCAAAGTCCAACTTGTACCAAAACATCCCCGCGTCTCCAAGTTCAATAACATTCAGATTGGTTCCTTCAACTGGGACGGAAAGCCGAACAAGACTTACGATACAACCTGTGTCTTTCCAATTGGCACACCTCGAATTAACCTCACCATTTTGCAGACACACAACACTCGAGCGCTCCATTCCATCCTCAGCCTCTCGTCCTGGTCCCAGTCGTCAAGGTCCTCCTCCTCCGCCGGGCAAGAACACCACCTGAACTGGAACTTCATCTTTCTCAGCCTCGCAGCCTCTTAGCCTTCCACATCACAACCGCCAAAATGCACGACAACCGTAAGTCCACAATCCTCCTCCTCCAAATTAGCCCCTTTCCAACTCTTTCTCTCTCACAATCCCATGACTAACACCCCCACTCTCTCCTAGGAACCCACCCCCTCCTCCAACAACTCCCCCTAACCGTCTCCCCCTTCGTCTCCCTCCCGTCCTCCGCCACGCTCCCCTACACCTACAAGCCCATGCCCAGCGCCTTACCACCCTCCACATCCGGCGTCGGCATCGGCGTCGGCATCGGCGTTGGCGTCAACACTTCCAGCCAAAACCACTCCTCCTCAGAAGGAAACGACCCAACAACAACAACAACAACAACAACAACAACAACAACAACAACAACATCCACGTCCTCCTCCAACCTCAACAAGCCAAAATACATCATCTCCCCCACCTCCGGCCACGCCGCCCACCCAGACGACATCATCGCCTCTTGCCAAGCTCTGCAAGCGCACGTCGCAAAGCTACAATCAGACGCAGGCGCGGAACTCAAAGCTCTGGAGGAGAGGATCAAGAAGAGGGAATTGGCGGAGAAGAGACGGGTGGCGCCGGGGTGGCTGGATAGTGAGGCTAGGCTGTTGGAGCCGGAGCGGAAAGGTGGGCTTTCCAAGAGAGGGAACGGGGCCAGTTTGTTGGATGCGCAAGATGGCGAGGGTGACGAGCAGCAAGGAGGAAATGGGGGGAAGGATGGGGGTATTGCTGGGTTAACTCAACGGTTCAGCGCGCAAGGGTTCGGATTGGGGCAGGCTGGTTATGGAGGACAAGGAAACGGGGGGCCAACTGAGATGGCGGTGCCAGATCAAGGGGAGGAACTGGATAGGACATTTGGGGTTGTCGGGATGGGTCAAAGATGATGTGTTGGAGTTGCGTCACGGGATCCGGTACTCGTCTGGGTCTGCCTAGCTGGCTGGGTTTCGGGGTCTGGGCAAGCGGCAATGGGGTCACCTTATGCTTTTTAAAAAAAACTTCAAAGTTGCTGGCTTTTGGCTCTCACGTACATGTTCCAACTTTGAGATCTCACTGGACGGGGCAAGAAAGCGTATGCCAATTACATATCAACGCAGATCCGAGGCACGTTTGGAAAGATCGCCCAGCACCAAATGTAAATGGGTTTGAACTTTTGTGGCAGGCTAATCGCAATAGACACGTCTGATGCGAACAGTGATATTGTGCTAACTGAAGGCATGGTTGGTCACATCGACATTGACACCCAGCCCGATGGGCTCTCGAATATCTTTGTCCACAAGTGCGCCAACAAAGCTACTCTACAGACATAGTAAGACTGATAAACCATCGACGATGCCACCTCTCCGCCAAAACTGCAACAGGTCCAACGGCAGTTCCGTCCACATCAAGCTACCAAGAACCCTTCCGCAAAGCACATGTCATCTTTGGGTGGTTTTTGCAAGTCCATTTTTTTTCTGCGCACCACGATCAGGCCTATCCATGATAGCCTTCGCCTATGGTCGCAAGGCAGTGGCGCCGTGTTAGCCGTCCCTCCAAACTAGGGCCCAAAGAAACAGGAATCGAACCCGCCCAGCTCATACACAGCGGCACACCTCATTCTCAAAACACGCTTGACATGCTCTGAGAGGGGATGACGAGGGAAATTCCGCCGCCATCCGACACCCAGGCGCCATCCACAAAAACTCTATTAAAAAAAAATGGCGCCCAGGTCCGGGCCAAGACACTTGGTCACCGGCGATCGATTGTCCGAAAGTTCGGTATTGTCTGTCTTTGGTCTCATCCAGATGGTCAACGCAGAATACATTAGATAGCTTTTCCAAGCTTGCAATCTGCGTGTTGCATGTGAGCACCCTTCGGCGACGGCCGATCGCAGGAATATGATCATAGCTGCGGAAAGACACTTTGCACATCAGCTACTTGCGAGGACCAAACTCCTGTCCAACTGTGTTTAAAAAACACAGTTGGCGGGGATGGTGGGGTCGCCTGTGAAAGGAGAGGTTAGAGGGTACGATCGCCTCTACTCTCATCAAACTCCCCCGTGGTAGTCCTGTCGGGTGGACCCCCTACCGCCGGTCGGAGGATCCCTGAGGCCTATGATTCGGGATGATCAGTCCGTCATTGCAAGGCCGGCCCTTTGACAAGACTTATGGTTGCGTCTCTGCGTTTGCTCTGAATGCTGTCGAAAGAGTATCTAGTCGTTTTCGCGAACATGGGTGTGAGTAACTGGCGCGAAAAGGTGGAATCAACATTCAGGTTCCCGGGCGGCACCGCGTGGAGGTGCAGAGGCCGACTTCGCCGCCCTCACAAGTGATGCGGGGTGAGGACGGTGCTGGAAGATGCCCGTGGTTCTGAAGCGACCAGCGAGACTGCGTGATTCGTGCAAGTGTGCGACAGTGCTGCTTGAAGAGGGGCAACGATAGCCAAGGGACATGCGAAGGGAGAGGCGCTTCTTGTCTGTACTGGTGCCACGAAGATCGCCATCCTTGAAAGGCCTTGGTGAAGAGTCGCCAGGTTGTCAAGCGACTCGTCCCTGCGCTCAGCTACCAGGTGGTCGATTGTCGCAACACTGATCTGCATGTAAGACCGAGGTCAGCTTCCAGCACGAACGAGTGATGTGTGGTCCACTGGTGTGGGAGCAGAGACATACGATATTGGAGGAGTCACCGGATGACTTGGATTGAATCACGCCGATGACGGACTTGTCCTCAACACCAGACCAGAGTCGATGACGGACTTGTCCTCAACACCAGACCAGAGTCGATGACACGCTCTGTGCTGAGGACGAAATCGCACTGGGAAGAAGACTGGACCGTGACCCAAAGCAATGTCGACACGCCTGAACAAGACCCTGAAGAAGAGTAAGTGAAGGCAACTAGGCTGCTGACGGAAGGCTGATAGATATCGTATGGTTGGTCCTTATGAGTTGAAGGTTGATAAGGTCCGAGACGATGGAGGTCGGAGGAGGAAAGTAAGACCGTGTTGATGAAATGTCGCTGATGTTGTGCAACGCGTGGGATGCGGAGACTGAGAAGAGAGCGTATCGAACGGGAAAAAGTGAAGTGAAGTTTGAGCAGAAGATAAAAGTTGGAGGGAGAAGGGATCTTATATAGAGGGGAGATGTGTGCCGTGAATGGCGGATCCACAAAGAGTGAAGTGATTGTTTGATGATGACGGGATGGAGAGGGAAACAAACGGATCAAACAGAGATGGGGGGCCCAGAATAAATACGCCAAACCCTTCGTCCCCTACCCTGTTTCTTCCTGTCTTGGTCGAATCCTTTTCCTTCCTCAGTGTCTTGGTTCTTTCCCCGTGGACATCGTTGCCTTCCTTCTGTCTGGCGAGGCGCTTTCTGAACTCTTTAAGAGCTCCTTCCTGTCATAGAGTTCTGTGTGTGAAATCGCAGGTGTCGCTCGTCGCTGAAGCCGGAAAGCACAGACCAACAAACGCCCAAACACGAAGCCGTCATGCGGGGCATTCGTAGCTGGACCGGGTCTTGGCAGCGGGAACCAAACAGCCGCCAAGGTCCACTTGCCGCATCACGAAATTTACGGCACGTATCGTACTTGACCGTTGCACTGTAATTTCATCATTACCATGCAGGCATGGAAGTTCAATTCCCATTTGATTCTGAACTTTATTCCATCTTCCTGGTTTCGTTGTCCGTACTTATCTTTCATCCTTGAGCCTTGCATTCCATGCCAACCCGATATTAGCTGCTTACACTCCCGCGCCCACGCCCACCATGCCGCCAGCTAAGAGCATGACGGCCAACCCGGTCAAGGCACCGCGCTACCGCGCCGGCAAGCCCACTGGCGTCGACTCCGAATCCGAATCCGACAACGTTTCCGAAGCCGAGGAGGAGGTCCCCAAGAAACCTCCCACGCGGAAGGCGCCAGCGCCAAAGTTCCACAATGCAGCGGGTCCCGGTCGAATCATCAGTCGTGGCAACGATGGCAAGATCAACTTGAAAGCCGTCGGGATAGGTAGCAACGCCCAAGACGACGAGGAAGAAGAGAAAAGGCGACGGGCAGCAGCTGCGAAGGCACGCATCGCGGCCGAGCAGAAAGCAAGAGAGGAAGGGTTCGTGACAGAGGAAGAAGGCGAAGAGGAAGAGGAGGAAAGTGGCAGCGAGGAGGAAGAGTCGGAAGAGGAAGAGAGCTCAGAAGAGGAGGAAGCACCGAGGCGGTTGATGCTGCGACCAAAGTTCATTCGCAAGGCCGACCGCGAAGCTGGGGTAACCGCATCCAACTCGACCTCAACAGGGAAGAAGTCAACACCCGAAGAAGACGAAGCAGCTACCGAAGAGGCCCGCCGCCGCGCCGCCGACGAGATGGTCGAAGAACAAATCAAGAAAGACATCGCCGCCCGCGCCGCCGGCAAGAAGCACTGGGACGACGACACCGACCCAGAAGACGACCACGTCGACGACACGGATGATATCGACCCCGAAGCCGAATATGCTGCCTGGAAACTGCGCGAGCTGAAGCGCGTGCGTCGCGAACGCGAGGCCATAGAGGCCAAGGAGAAGGAACTCGCAGAGATCGAGCGCCGGAGAAACCTCACGGAAGAAGAACGCCGCGCCGAAGACGAGAAACACCTGCAGCAACAAAAGGAGGAGAAAGAAGGCAAAGGGAAGATGGCGTACATGCAAAAGTACTTCCACAAGGGCGCTTTCTTCCAGGATGAGAGCAAGGAGATGGGACTGGATAAGCGAGACATTATGGGCGCGAGGTTTGCGGACGATGTCAAGAATCGTGAGTTGTTGCCCAAGGCGCTGCAGTTGAGAGACATGACCAAGCTCGGAAGAAAGGGCGCCACCAAGTACAGAGATCTCAAGAGCGAGGACACGGGACAGTGGGGCCGTCTGCATGACAACAGGCCGGGCAGGGAGTTTGACAGGTTTGGAGATGAAAGATTCCAGCCTGACGGCCCGCGAAGGGATCAGTACGGCGATAGGGGTGGTGATGGGCCGAAGGGCTCCAATGCCATTCCTCTGGGTGATCGCAAGAGTGCTCCTGAGAGATCAAGGGGTGATGACAGATCGCGTGGCGAGGATTGGTATAGAGGTGATAGGGATCGCGACCGCTCTCGGGACCGTCACCGTGACAGGGACGGGGACAGAGACCGACACCGGAATAGGGATAGGTATGGTGGTCGTGACCGCGACCGACGCCGGGATGATGATTACAAGGAGAGGCGCCGGTCCCCGTCCCCAAGACGTGATCGTGATCACAACCACAATGAGCGGAGGAAACGGTCACCCTCCAGGGAGCGAGACCGGTACGACAGCGACAAGCGAAGAAAGGTGGACACTAGGTAACCTATGTCTTGCCTACCTGCGGTCTCCTCGGCTCATGCAAGGACTCCTTACGTTTTTATCGAGGTATCAGCAAGTTGGATGTGCATACTTTTTTCCATTCCGACGCCGAACCACCTGGTTATACCTAACCTAATGCCAATGCCAAACATAATACAAAAACAGATTCATACTTCCACTTTCCACATCATCAAGACATGTCTACGAACCCCCAAACTTTCATTCATACCCCATTCAAATCCTGGTAACTTCCACCCTCGCCCTTTCAAAGACCCTATGGGCAAGCATCCCGCCCGGTGCAGCATCCGCCTCCGACAGCTTTGGCGGATACAGTGTCATCCGGGCATATGTACCAGCTCGCTTGCGTTGTGACAGATACCCGGGGTTGATGACCAAGACACTTTCAATGACCTAGAAAGGGGATGGAAGTCAGCAACTGCACACATCGCGGGAAGAGAAAAAGTAAGGCACCACGAAAAACATACCTTTGCAAAAGGCGGCAACGCGCTCGGCACAATCAACACATCAGGGCGCACATTGACCATTTCGCCTAGCTTCAAGTAACTGATATCCAGCATCGCGCCCGGCGCCGCCTGCCCATCAATCACCTGCCTACCCGTCTTCGGCAGCTTCGTCCGATCGGTCGGCGGGAATAGCGGGAAGTAATGCCTCTGCTCGATCAGGTACCTGGCCACCCTCGACAAGCCATTGGTATCCTCCACCGAGCCGCCGATCAACTCCTCGTGCTTGAGCTCCCACAGCGCGTCCTGGCTGCTGATGCCCACCACCGTCTCGTTGAGGCTGAGCGTCATCGGGTTGCCGATGATCTTGACGCTCTTGTGCAGACCGAGCTCCTTGCGGGGAAAGGCGTCCTGCGGCCAGGAGACGTGGCGGTCGATTACGTCGCGCACCGAGGGAACGAGGAGGATGGTTACGTTGGGGTTTGCGGATACAAGGCGGTTCAGCGCGGGTGAGATGAGGTATTTGAAGACGGTGCTCATGGTGGCTGCATCGGGGTCGTAGACGGCTTCCTCGGGGAGGTCAAAGTCGCCCGAGGCGATGAGGGGGTGCTCGGCGTCGATGAAGGGGCCGGCGAGGATGACGGCATCAGCGTAGGTATCTGCTGCCTCGTTGATGAGAGTGTGGAGAGGTTCGAAGTCAAGGTTGTCGTCGGCAGTGTAAGGGCCAGAGGCGAAGATGACGTTGAGAGGGATGGGGTTTTCGTCGTCGGTGTCCATGGCGTCTGGACCGCCCCGTAGCCTGTTACGGTGTGCTGCCATGGTCTCTAGGGTAGAGGCAGCGTTGAGCATGAGAGGCATGCGCAAAACTTCGTTGACGGTGAACTCGCGCCCTGTGGTGTTGGTTCCGCGTAATGCGACGATCTGTCCGGGGAAGAACTGGTAGCCCCTGAGCTTGCTGACGTTTAGGGGTACTCGGAAACCGCCGCCCATCCTCCTCGACGTCTCTAATACCAGAGAAGCGGCATTGAGCTTGCCTTCAGACGAATCAGAAGCAATGCGCCCAACTGCCACAATCTCTGTAGTACTCTGCATGGCCGCGCTGCCGACTGCAGATTCGTCCAACTTGTGATGTTGCAGCACCAATGTCGTGAAGTCGTCTATCCTGTCGTCCAAAATTTCTGATGTTTCGGAAAGCTTCACTGCTAGTGGCTTGTAGCCCAGCTTCTTCTGATCGGAGGCGGCAGTAAGCTTGATGCGGGACTCGCCAAAGGGGGCGATAGGTGGTTCGGGTGCAGGGAGGTTTTCGTTGAGGATCTCGATCACTTCGCCGGCGTTTGGTCTGTCTTTGAAAGATGATGGTCTTGGAAGGGTTAGCAAGGACACATCTGCAAGGTCTTGGGCTTGACATACGGAATAGCACCCATGGCATCTAACTGTGCCTCCAGCTTCATTGGCGAACTCACGGGCTCGTTCTTCAAGCGGCTAATGGGAGTCCCCATTGGTGTCTTCCTGGCCGAGCCGAGCTTTACTGCCCGTCGAGCGGCCGGTGTTGTGAGTCCATCGAGCATACCAAATACATCGCCATTGTTCCTCGCTCCTGGTCGTGGTGTTCCTCCTTGTCGTTTTTCGGTCTTGACTTGCTCCAGCGCCTGCGCTCGGTTTGCTCGTTCTAGTGTATCTTGTAGGTCTTGCTTGAACTTGCGAACAGTGGACATGGACATCTTGGGCTGGTCCATGTCCATCTTGATGCAGTATGACTCCCACTTGAAGAACATGTCTTGCACGTCGAGTTCGTGTAGGCGCATGATCGATTGGAGCTCGTAGATGACATCGGGTGACAGCTCGGTGTTGGCAGCGCCGAAGCGCTCGTTGAGCTCGGCCACGACTGGATCGGCCATGATTGATTGCTATTGTGGTGTTTGCGCTGGCCCTTTTCTCGGGTGTTCGGTAGGTCGATGCGATGCCTTCCAGAAGAATAGGGCTTAAGGTTATGTGGTCGCAAATCGAAGGGCGCAGTCAACAAACAAAGTTACCGGGTATTACACGAAGATGATCATGGAGGGGAAGCATACATTTGGAGACGCGCCATGAACCGCGCCGTAGAAATCAATTAACGCCAAAACACGCTAAGCCAATTGACAGGGTTGGGCCTTGTGCTCTGAGGGTGTGACGATATGGAGCTCAGGGGGTCTGTGGCTGATGTGTGGCTTCCTGAAGCGCTAACGCCAAAAATTGGGAAAGCGCTTCGATGCAAGTTTGAGAGATGTGTGCCTGCACGTTGCAAACGGATCGTCCCACGTGAACAGACGGAAAGTGTCCATCAAGGTGCATTGCTTCACGAAGGCACAAAAAGATTGACAAGTTCGGTTGGTGACATCTTGAAAATAGCATATCTTCTTAATATTTTCCCACAAATCTTTCATATCTGGATATCAAGTCTTGGCTTTTCTTCGGTTCAGTCGGATAGATGTTCGCCAATTTCCGTGATCATCGAAGCTATTTGAGGCCAGCAATCAAAACCCCTAATTCGGCTGTGGCTGATACATCGTCGGCCGCTTGAGATTGGGCTGATGACATCGTCCAATTCCACTACACTTGCACTTCGCCCTATCTCAACTTTCTTGTCCTAAACCAGTTCCTACATCTTCTTGCTTTTTCCTGCACTTTCTGATCTTGTTTAACCTACGCTCTTTAATTCCAACTTCTTCACCACACCGCTCACTCAAAATGGCCACCGTCCTCAAGGTCCCTATTGCTTCTCCAACCCCTGACAGCCAGCCCAAGCCTCAAGCGCCGCTTACGGCTGATCAGCAGGAAAAGTACAACTGGTTGCTCGAGCAAGTCAAGAACTGGAAGGAAGTCCCAGCAACCGAGGGCAAGACCGGTCCCCTCACCGACAGGGAGAGGTTCTGGTTGACTCGGGAATGCCTTCTCCGCTACCTGCGCGCAACTAAATGGAACCAGAAGGAAGCTGAGAGGCGCGTCCTGGGCACGCTTACGTGGAGGAGAGAGTATGGCGTCGAGGAGTTGACCGCGGACCACATCTCGCCCGAGAACGAGACCGGTAAGCAGATCATCTTGGGCTACGACAAGGAGGGCCGCGTATGCCATTACCTGAACCCCGGTCGCCAGAACACCGAGGCCTCTCCTCGCCAAGTCCAGCACCTCGTCTTCATGCTCGAGCGCGTGATCGAGCTTATGCCTCCTCAGGTTGAGACCCTGTCCCTACTTATCAACTTCAAGTCGAGCAAGTCCAGGTCCAACACGGCTCCCGGCATCGGTCTGGCTCGCGAAGTTCTCAACATCCTTCAAAACCACTACCCTGAGAGACTCGGACGCGCTCTCATCATCAATGGTACGTTTACGCGCTGAGGAATTTCTGAATCCTGATAACTAACCAATCACAGTTCCCTGGATCGTCAATGGCTTTTTCAAGCTCATCACGCCCTTCATCGACCCCCACACCCGCGAGAAGCTCAAGTTCAACGAGGACATGAAGAAGTACGTCCCTGCCGAGCAGCTCTGGACCGAGTTCAACGGCAATCTCGAGTTCGACTACGACCACGCCACGTACTGGCCCGCCCTACAGAAGATGTGCGCCGAGAAGAAGGAGGCCAAGTACCAGCGCTGGGTTGCCAGTGGCCAGCAGATTGGCGAGTTGGAGGATTACATCACCGGTCATGCCCAAGTTGGTGTTGCTGGTCCTGTTACCGCTGCCACCTCTGCTCCTGAACCCACTCCTGCCGCATCTGCATCTGTGCCGGCTGCTGAGTCCGAGGCTGTCCCTGCTCCTGCTCCAGTTGCTGCTCCCGTACCAACAACTACGGAGGCTCCCAAGGAGGCGCCAGTACCGGCTCCCAAGGCTGTCGTTGCTGCGGAACCAACACCCGCGGTGGCGCCTGTGGAGGAGAAGAAGGAAGAGGACAAGCCAAAGGTTGTCGCGCCAACTGAGCTTGGGGAGACGACTGCTTAGAAGGTGCGCTCGGTTGTCAAATGGACGGTTTTGAAATTAGTCGCGCTGAGTTTAGGTAAAGAGTAGAACGAGGAGCTTTTGTTGCATATTTTTGATACCAATCATAGAAAGCTAGGCGCCATTGGGGTGTTTCTGGTCAGTTAGACACTATAGAAGGCGAAGCATAATAATAGTTATATTTGAAGGAAGAGCTGCCGTTTGCGGTGAACTATATGTCAGACTCGAGACTAAGCTTGGTCTTGTTGGTAGAGAAGGGCTTAATAATCTACTGAGCAATGATCTAGAGACACTTGAAGACATCTTTCATATATGTGATCCGCCGTTTTAAGCCCTATAACGGAACGGAACATTTTACAATGCCAAACCCATCTAGCTAGAATCTGAACATGATAACATCTAAGTAACAATCCAACAAACTCCAACTTATTCTCATACAAGTAAACAGATACAACCATCAAACTTCAACAGCTTCCAACAACTCACCCACACAACCCAGCCTTTCGTCCCAACCTCCTCGCTTCGAGCCCGTGCTGCCCGTGTGCTAAACCTGAAGGAAGCACAGCCAGTCATTCATTCCCTGTACAGCAGTATCGAAGCATAGCAAAATGTAAAAATAGATATTTACTTCGACCGCACCCAATTGCAGTACCTCACTGAAGACGAGGCACATCTCGGTATTTGTGTTGCCTTTTCCCGCTCCTTCTCCCTTCCTTTGAACTTACCCGCGTGTAAGGCATTCGAGGTAGGTGCGAGTTGCTGTCTTTCTTTCTTTTCCTCTTTTCATTCCTTTTCTTCTTTTCTATGTCTTTTGTTTCCCTTTTTCTTTGTCTGTTATGGGCAGGTTCGTTCTTTTCTCTGTACATTATCTCACCACGAGCTGATACTTGCTGCTCCTTCTATTTGTAGCCCTTACCAAGGTGGCAGCACCCAGCCGGTCTAATTGGAAGTTACAGTCTCGTTTTCTGTTTTCTTTGGAGCCTATTTCTGCAGAACCTTCGCTCTTTCCTCTTTATTTGCTTTTTATTTGCTTTTCATTTCCTTCAATCTCACACCACCCTCAACTATCCGTTGCTCTTTCCATGTGTACTGTACCCCTCGTTGGCCACCCAGCCAGCCAGTTCCTCTAACAGCCGGGAGTCGCAGTTGCGCGCTCGACATTGAAGCGGAGTGACGATGCTTTTCCTTTTTACGATGTACTTATTGCACTTGTGGTGTAACATGGAACAACCGTGACTCTTGTAAGTGTTTGTTCTTTAACAACTATCTTTCAGTCTTGGGTCAACGTCAGAGTTTGCAAATCCGAGACCCGCAGTTCAAAAGTTGAAGTCTTAGAGGGCGAGTGAGAATGAAGACCTATGTCAGGGGATGGTGCGCATCGATTAAATACTGATCGTAATAGGGATTGCGAAACGGAGGTTGAGAGGCTTTGATAAATGGATCGAACTTTGTTAGTTACATGGTGTACATAGACGTAAAGATCCAGGAATCTTTGTTCCTTGTGTGCATGCAAGATAAATCACACCAAAAAACAATGTATGGTTGGTCCTGGAAATCACGATACCGATTCAACAACTACTTTGCAACAAGACAATACCCTTTGCAGATTTCGTGTTCTTACGCTTCAAAAAATGCAGGTGTCCTTACCCTCTTGTGCCAAAACCTCAAAATCCTATTTCCTCTTGAAGTCCCAAAGTCCTATCCTTAATCCCAAGCCCAACAACCCAGCCAAAAACCAAGCTCGCCAAGCTCCCGTGCCTACATAGCTCAGCTAGCTAGGAAACGGCCCGACCGCCCAAGTACATAATCGGAAGGGGACTTGGGCGTGCGGCCGGGAGGGAACGGAACGGAGCGGGACGAACTGGGCAGGGAAGTTGGCTGTTCATGTCTGTCTGGGATTACCTAGTGAGTAGTAGATATTATCCGGACAGGAAGATCCTAGCTGGCTAGCATGGTAAGTATAGGTATATATGGTAGCCGGTGGTGAAGAGAAGGTTGTTCGGCTTAGCGTGGAAAATTTGAGGATATATATTTGGGTATGTATGGAAGACTTCGAGAGTGAGGTAGTCTGCTAGGACCATTAAGCTTCGGTCTGAAGAGGTCAAGCTGGTGTTTGAGGATGGCGATTAAAGATTAGCCGCTGTTGACATGCGCCGGGATCATACTGCCTCAGCTTCGAGAAGGTGCGACAGAAGCGAAGGGAAACAGAAAGTATACAAACTACAAAGTAAAGAGGGGAAGGGCGGTGGGGGCAGTATATAGCATGGCTATATATGATCACCATGATTTCGTTTGGTTTGGCCAAGGTTGCAAGCATCTGACTATATGCTTCTGCAGGACGCATTTTGTGGAAGGGGAAGTGTGTCTCAGGACATCATCCATGGAGGGATCTTATTTATTTCTTTTCGTTCTGGAAACACTGTGAACGAGAATAAGGATGAGGAACGCATAACCTTACGAATCCTCTCCCTCAACGACAAGAATAACCAACAAGGGACTTCCTCTTGTCACTTACCGGTCCGTGATCAAGGGCACAATGACAAGATGAGATGAACTAGAAGAGGATCTTCCGGTCTGGGTAGCATGTGGGATCGTGGCATCCGTCCCTGGTTGACGATCATTCTTGATGGTGAAGCGTTCCTGTTATAGTTTGATGGGGTACGTACAAGGTTGAAAAACAAAAAACAAAAAAAAGGGAATGCGAAGAACGAGGACGGGAGCGAGTAAAAGACAGCAGGTACAAGGTGTGCATAAGCTGGAATGTTCGATGTTCTCGGTAGATGTTCGCTACCACTTGGCCGGAGGATTGCGGCGAAGAAAACGCAGTGTTAATCATGTTACCAACAGCAATGCAGGGTGAAGAGTTATGCAAACATGTTCGTTCGATCTTGTGATTGTCGAGATCGATGAACCGCCCGCGGCCAAGAG